ATTATAATATCTCTGTTTAAACGTCTTCAGGATGTAGGCTGGGTGCAGTGGCTCACACCTATAATCCCAGCACTTTGGGAGGCTGAGGCAGCAGGATTGCTTAAGCCCAGGAATTTGAGACCAGCCTGGGCAACATAGAGAGACCCTGTCTGTTAAAAGAAAAAAGAAAAAGAAAAAAAAAAATCTTCATGATGAAAATGCTAGACAGCTGATTGAGACAGAATATAACTTTACCTTTATCTGGTGTATGGAACAGAGTCTTTAAAAGGCCTTAGGATTCTAGAGAAGCAGAGTGTTTAAATGAGGCGGCTTCTGAGCCAGCCAGTCTGAGTTCAAACCCTGCTCTTGGCTTTCGTTGTGTTTTCTTGAAGAAGTTATTTAATCCCTCTAGGATTCCCTCAGCTGCAAAATGAGGAAAATATCGGTGCCACTGTCATAGGATTGTGTGAGGATTCGGGAAATACTACATGGAAAGCTCCCCGGTATATGGAAAGCACTCAGAAAGCGCTTGCTGTTGATACTGCTATGGTTACTGCCGTGATTGTTATTATCATTATTCTACAACCTGGCCCCTGCCTGGCTCCCAGCGTTATCTCCTGTCACTTTCTCTCATTTTGCGCAAGTGCCTGCCCAGCTGAGCTACTCATTGCCCCCTGCTTAACTGGAAGATTTTCTGCTTCCGCGTTGTTCCCTGGCTGTGTGGAGGCAGAGCAACCACTTGGAGGGGATGTTGCAGAGGAAAAATCAAGCCACCGAAGGGAAACTCGGTTGAATGAGATCCCCCTTTACATTTCTTTTGGCTCTAAAGTTTCCTTCCGATCAATCAAGCAAAGAGGACAATTAGCAGCGCAGCACTCAGCACAGCACAGGCGAGGGTGTTCTTTCACTGCTCTTTGCTTTCCGGCTACCCCTCTGCTCGCTTTTCTCTTTGCACCATGTGGGGCCGCTCTGGTTGGGAGTCCTGGAGAAAGACATTTCAACAAAAGATAAGGCAGACATCGGCCTCAGTGGAAGGACTTGGTAGACAGACCTGGGCGTTTGATTACGAGCAAGTCGCTTAAATTCTCTGAGCCTCAATTTCTTTAGCAGTAAAATGGGGATATTAGTACTCACCCCATAGGGTGAGAATGAAATCAGATATTGTTTAAAAGGACTTATAACTGAGGGCACAAGATATAGCTAGTCTACTAACTATTCTCTTTTTTTCCTTTTCCTGTTATTCACAGGGGGACTTGGGCTGTGTCTTTAAGGGGATTTAGATTCCAGTTGGTGGAAGGAGGGCTCCGCTGTGAGGGAGACCAGATGGAGACTGCAGGGGCCACAGGGGAACGTGGGGTGCAGACAGGTGGGGCAGATGGTAGGAGGCCCTGAAACCCAGACAAAGGGATCTGGGCTTGAGAAAGCAAGAGTTGGGAGCTCAGCTTTGTTCCTATTCTTCTGTTCCTCCTCCTCTTCCTTCTCTTCTTCTGGTAAGTTCTTGGCACAAAATTAAATAGGTTCAAACTAATAGAACTCATTTTCATGAATTCAGACTTCTAGCCAACTTCTCTACGGTTAGAAATAGCCACAACTCTATCCCAGGCCCACCCTGGAAAGCAAAATAAAACTGTGTCCCCTGACACCTTTTCCTGGTTCCACCGGGCACAGGGTTGGAGGGGAACCGCCCTTCAGTGCAGGCAATGCGGGTACACTTTTTATGGGGCGCTGTGGCCTGTGAGATGAGGAAGGCAAGACAGGTGCAAAGTGGACTCAACTAATCTTTCACTGGAGAGCCCCACGGCTTGAGTGCACCACACAACCCAGAGTTACACAGGGCCTTTTTTTTTTTTTTTTTTGGTCTCACTGGGGACAATGTCTACACCCACTATAGGCAGTTCCTTTGCCCCTGTATGCCTCTGTCTTTTTAATTGGGATGGAAAACTCCTACTTCAGTGGTGGTTGTGCCCGGCACATACAAACCGACTTATAAATGTAGCTGCCCTGGGGCAGGAATTATCCTGGAACATCTTGACATCTAGAACATTAAGACTAAGTGGATTTAATTATCTGGGGAGAAGGAAGCAAGGCAGTTAGAGTCACAGGTTCAACACCTGAGTTCAAGTACCTCCCTCATTTAAGAAAATCAATTCACGGATGGCTGAGGCAGAGAATAGCTTGAATCTGCGAGGTGGAGGCTGCAGTGAGCTGAGATTGCACACATCATCGCACTCCAGGCTGGGTGACAGAGTGAGACTCTGTCTCAACAAAAAAAAACAACAAAGAAAAATAAAGAAAGAGAAGAAAGAAAGAGAGAGAGAAAGGAAGGAAGGAAAGAAAGAAAAAAAGAAAATAAAACAAAGAAAGACAATACAGTGCAGTACTCGATCTGTTATTGAGCACTGTCCACCAGACGCTGTAGAAAGCAAAACAGCCTAGCCCTCACACTCTTCCTGGTGACTCTCAGGCGCAGACCAAGAAGATAGGGGGAGGACTTTCATGTGCTCTTAGCATATATACCAGAGTGATTACTAGCTGAGTTAACCCAATGATGGCTCTCTAAGCCTCAGTTTCTCCATTTGCAAACTTCTCATAGAAAGGTGGTGGGAAAGAAAGGAAAAAACAAATGTAAAACTCCTATTACAATGCCTGACTCTTAGAAAGTATCAACCAACAGGAGTTGTCATTTTTTATATGCTGTAAAACTACCAAAAGATCTCTCTTGTATCAACATTTTGTAAGCAAAAATAAATAATATATATTCATATATATTAATGATACCAAAATAATACATAATACTATATGTCTATTTGTAAGAGAAATAATATCAAGACACCTAAAATTTTTAATTCTAAACACTAAGACAATTATTATTATTTTTCCTCAACCCTCCATCCTAAATAATATGAATAATAACAATAGAAAGAGCTTACTAATTGTCAGGCACTCTCCGAAGCATTTAATCCTCCCAACAACCCTATGAGGTTGGTACTGCAATGAACCTATTTTACAGATGAGAAAACACCAGCACAGAAAGATTCACTCACATGGCCAGGATCATGCAACTTTTAAGAATACCCCTTTGGTTTGCATTTCTTTGTATCTGCGCCACTCTTTCCTTCTCTTTCCTTTCTCTTTAGGTCTCCTGATCGGTTGGCAGGTCAAGCCCAATCATGGGAACTCTTTTCCTTTAAGCAGGTCATCTCTTTCTCTTCCTCTCTGTTCCCACCTGCCCTCTAGCAGTGTCTCAGCACCGTGGAAGGCTGCTTGCTACCGCACTGGAAAACTTCTCCAGACGTTTCCAAGTTTGCATTCACCCACCTCCTTTGGAAATTGCTTCGGTGAGGCCTAACCCTTTCTGAGGAAAGGACCTTGGGAGAAGAAAGCCAGGAGAAGGTAGTGGCACTCCTTTGTCATCAGGAGACATCGGGAGGAAAGAAATGATTTTCGACAGCAGCTGGGTGAGGGGAAAACGGAATCGCAGAATCTGCGGAACCCGTGTCGGTACACAGCAGCTGCCAGCTAAACGGACAAGATCTTTGCTGTGTTTCGACGATGAAGTGGACTCCCAACAAGGAACAGGGGCGGTGCGGTGGGGGCGGGGGGGGGGAACAGTTACCAGACAGGTGACATTCGGTGCATGCACGAACAGGTCCAGTGCCCCATTCGGAGGGCAGGAAGGCAGCCAGCCAGCAGAGCATTCACTAGGGAACCAGATGGTCACCTGCCCCTGCTCACCCCCACCTCCTTCCTCCCCAGGAGAAAGGAAGAAGTCAAGTACATGAAGAAACTGGAAAGTACGAGTTGCTGGCAGTGGCATTCAGGGGTCTATACATAAGATAAACTCTAATCCCGAGCTAGACAAAAGCCTGTACCATAAAAAATGATTAGCAAGGGGTTTCCAAAAACATTTCCTCAGGCCACAGAAAAGGAGAAAGAATATTTTGCACACTGCCTTGTCTCTTAGAAATAATTACAGCTAGGCCTCTATCACCGGCAAGTCTTTTTCCTTTCACACGCCATTTGCAGGCACATGGCATGGTATTTGTAACAAATTTTCAGTAGCAAGTGGGTCGCTGGTAGTCACAGAGTCAGGTGCCATTTTGAAAACTGCTTCTCTCTAGCCGAATTTCTTATATTTTCAGATGCAGATGCACTTCAGAGATGTCCTAGTGCTGGAAACGCTGCCTGGAAAATATAGTTTGATTTTTGAATTTCACCTTAAGCTGTTAGAGATCATGTAACTGTAGTCTTTGGAATTCAACGCAGGCCTCCTTACCAATCACTTTTATAATTTATGAAAATAAGGAAGAGGAAGGTAAAGAACTTCCTCATTGTCAGGCAGTAAGTCAATGGCAGAGCTTGAACTTGGCTTATTTAGCTAAGAGGGAGGTGTTTTACCATTAAATTACCCTACACTCAGCAAATATTACTGTTGATTCGAGTGCTCACAAAAATTATGCTGATAAAACAATGTGGATGTTACAGTGGTGAAACTTTCTCTTTTAAAATCACTTACGGGTGCTTTACGTTCCACCCAAGGCAAAAGGAACGCCAGCGAGGAAGACAAAGAGGCCCGGGGTGGGGCGCAGGCACTCCACTGGTCTGAAAGCTGAGTCACAGGAATCGTACCCCTGCAGCGGACCAGGCCCTCCAGGGAGGGACACCGCGCCCTAGTGTGGAGATGTCCACAGTAGACAAAGACAGTTTCGCAGTAAAAGAATGCCTGTCACCGTAGGGGCCACCCCGACCCTTAGTTATTATGCCCTGGTCCCCAAGAGCAATTTTTGCGCTGCTGTTGCAAAAATTCATCATAATGAAATGAACGTAAAAGGGGAAAATGTGTTATGAAGGAAGTGTTGGAGCATGCTTTGCTCATTTTATTTATTCTTTTCGCCATCGTCGTGGTTAGGGTGCTCTAGTGGACCCCGGGTGGGGGTGGAGCTCCCCAAACGCCCCCAGGCCTCCGGATGCCTTTCTGAGACGCGGCGCGAAGGAGTTAAGGGGACTGCGGGTGACATCACCTCATTTACATAGGAGCGCCCATAAATGGACGACCGCCGCACCCCGCCCGACAACTCGGTGGTGGCCACTGCGCAGACCAGACTTCGCTCGTCCGTGCGCCTCGCTCCGGTGAGCCCCAGGGCCCCCGTCCCCTTCCCTCCTTGCTCGCCACTCGCCCCTTCATCATCCGCGTCCCTGTGAAGGCATCCCCTAAAGCTGAGCCCGAGTGGTTCTCCCCGGGAAGGCTGCTTTGGGGAGCTGGGGGATGCGAAACACCCTAGATGCTGGGTAACGGGGCGGGGAAATCGACGATTTAAGAACAAAACCGAAAAACTGGCGTCCTGCCGTGCCTCTCGGAGGGGACATTTTAAAATTTCTTACTGTTTGTCCCGAAAGGCATTATGCGTTGCCCGGGAGGCTGAGATATCGGGGAACAGACGGATCCTTTGTCCTGAGGCTCATCACCCGAGCCCCGAGTCCCGAGTCTCCTGCCAGCCTCGGACGGCTGCGCGGGCTGCATCTGTGCAGCCTGTCGGCGGCGGGGCTGTGCTATGACATTTTCACGGCCTTTCTTGCAGAGGCATGTATGCCAGGGCTGCCGAATTGCCGGGAGAGCAGGCAGGACCGGCTTCGGCGCGTGCTGCTGCCGCTTTGTGTGTGGGGCTGCTTTGTGGCGCGGGCGAGGAAGCAATTAGGGCGGTGGTCGGAAGCTCCCGCCGCAGCCGCGGCCTTTGTGAGAGGACTAGAAAGCCGGACCCAGTCCGCATCCTTTGCGGAGAGGCCGTGGCTAGAAAATGGAAACGTTTTTGCCACCTGGGCTCCATTTTAGGAATTCTTGCCTGATTTTTCCCACTTGCACTCGGAAGTGGCTTTCCTGTTCTCTCGTTCTAGCCTGCCTTTAATTTTAAACGCCGTAATTAACAATTCACAGTGATCAGTTTCCTTTATTCTGCAAGAATCGGCTTTGAAAGGCATCCGCCCTCTTTGGTCCCCAGCGTTTTGAAATATGGAGGGGGGTGGAGGGGGTTGCCGCCTCTTTTTCTGTAGAAAGAGGAAGCTCGTGAGGGCGGAACGGCGCGGGAGGAGGGCGAGGAGGGCTTTCAGGCGGCGAGTGGGAGGGCAGAAGCGCAGTTCCCAGCCCAGAGACGCAGGGGCGGGTGGCTCTTCCTCACGCTCGCTCTTGGCTTGCTCCCTGCAGCTTTTCCTCCGCAACCATGTCTGACAAACCCGATATGGCTGAGATCGAGAAATTCGATAAGTCGAAACTGAAGAAGACAGAAACGCAAGAGAAAAATCCACTGCC